TTTAAATTGTCCTTCAATGGCACAGCATTGCTTTCTCAATGGTCATGCCAGAGACTCACCTACTATGGTAATTAGTCATTCATGAGTGAGCACACACAAGCACACACCCTTGTGCCCTAGCCAGCTGAGGTAGTCTCTACATGTGTGCTGCTGTGGAGTTTTTTACTCCGCAGCAGGATTGTATGTTTAAATGCAAATACTATCCTGCTGCGGAATAAATTAGCTTACTTCAGCCTAATAGGAGCTCATGTGTAGATACCAAGATGTTTACTGTGCAGCTAATTAGTCTGCTGCACAGTAAATATCTCATAGACATGCCCAGTGAGTATATTTTTGGGTAGATGCTTTATCGATGTTATAATTACTGTTGTGAATAATAGCCATGCATTGAGTTGATGGATAAAGCACAACATTTAGCAATAAATTTTTTAATGCACTGTTGTGTGAACACTGTATGAAAAACATTTTCCTAGCATACAGTGGACAAATTTTCTATTATATGGATGAATAACTGCCATAAATGAATATAATGTAGTGAAATTCTGTTTACTTCCTTATACCATCCTGCATTGTGCAGAGCTTGCTCACGTCTTGCTGACTAGACCAGGAATCTATTAAGGTACAAGCAGATATATTCCAGATATCATATTTCCATACTGGCTCTTAAATAGCTGTTTTTGAATTCAGTATTTATTTCACCTTCAGACCAAAAGTAATTGTTGAAATTACCCTCATATCTCCAGCAAACGTAGTGCAGCTCCTTCACCCTTTCAGATTTGGACAAAAAATAACATCAGGAGATTGTAGGTCAGAGAATGGCTGCAATAAATGGATTCAATTTTCCCATGAGTTACAGGAACTTCACCACTATTCATGGGGTGCTTGCATGTATGAGGTCATAGTTCTAATAAAGTGAGGCATTATTGATAAATATTTGTATTAGGAAAAAATACCATTGCCATTTTCCAGGTTCATCACAACCAGACATTGCTGCCTGCTACGGTTTATCTTTTGGCACAGCCTTATCCATCATGGTATCTCTTCTGCCTGTAGGTTTTCTGGCACGTGTGTGAGAAGGTGGCATTCCCATCCTGCTTCAAATAAGATTTACACATACTATATATATTCAGCTTCTCTTGCTAAGTCAGGTGTTGTTTTGTTGTTGAAAAATAACAGCTCATCCCAAATGTTCTCCCTAACCTATCACTTGCTCAGATTTTCTGCATTCCTCCCCGCATCTCTAGCACTCCAGTATGTCTTTGGTCCTAGCACTTAAACACACCCTTAATTTTGACTGATTTCATTGGGATCCAAATAAAGTTAACCCGTTTAAAAGCGTGTGTGTTTTGCCTAATTTCTGACTGCTGCTAACAGGATGAGTCCACAGAAAAGCTGTGCTGTCGCCTTAGAAGTCTCTGTGCACATGACAGATAGGAAGTGGCCTAGAACTTGATCTTAGGCATTCATCCCAACCAATAAAAGCTAGGCAGAGGACGGAAAAATGGAGCTTTCACAGGAAGACATGTTGTTCCAGATCATTTTCTTTATCTCTATAATAATGTATAAAAATGTTGGCTTCAAATATATTAGGGAATCCATACAAAGTATAGTAGTCTGATATACCTTTTTCTCTTGGTTTTTTTAAAGATACATACCTTCTGGCACCATCAACTGCTATTTAGAGCATGAATTTGAGAATTTTTTTTAGTTGGAAATAGGCTAAATTGCAAATAAATATGAACAGGAGATTATATTTTATTTACAATAAGAAGTAATATTTTTTCTAGACTTTTGTTACGGATTTTGGCATAAGATGGCAAAAACTGAAGTATTTATACACATTATTTTAGCTCTTCTTGTCAAAGAAAACTTGGATAGATCTATGCAAGCAGACAGTGGTTTGTTCCTTGATGGCTGGCTGCAGCTGCAAAGCAACCTTCTTCTCTGTTATGGGTAGGACATGCAGTCTAGAAGCTTTCCAGCAGTGAATATTCCTGGAGCAAATATATCTTTACTGTCATACACACTGGAATGATAGTATAATCAAAGACATAATCCGGAGCTTTATAAAGCGCTGAAAAGAGAGACGGACAGCAGTTAACTTGCTGGTCAACAGACTGTCAGATAAGATTGCTACGGGGATAAATATAGGCTTTTCATAACCTTTGGCTGGCATACAAAGAACATGCAACCGAGTCAGTGACATCTTTCATGCTTCAAGAATTTGTTCTTGGCAGAACCATGATATAGCGGTTTAAAGACTGTTTTTGCAACCACTTACAAGATGACAGCTTCACAGGTGTCACCTCTCAAATTTACATTTTTTTTATCATTCTAAATTATATTTTCATATCTTCAGGTACAAATATTAAGGCATATGTCAGGTAGAGCAGTGTCCATGGATTGTTGTATTAATCCAGGAAGATCAACATCATCTAAATTAGAAAGTTGAAGGAAGAATTCCAGTGATCCGATTAATGCAATTTGACAAACACTGTTCCTGATTTCAGTTGAACTCATTAAAATGAAGTTTGCGATATTCTAAGCATTTCTGAAATCTGATTCTGATATCTGTTTGGGAAGGACATCTAAATACAGTAGGTCTGTCACTGGGAGCATCTACACGTGCAAATGCTGCTAGATGGGTTTACTCCGCAGTAACTACTGCAAAGTAAGACCACCCTGGACAGGCATCTACATGAGTGAGCATTTGGAAGAACGTTTGTTCCCAATTGGAGAAGCCTGGAGCAGGCTGCTCCCACCCTGCTCTGCCCGCCTGCAGCAGCCGGGGGGTGCTCCAGGCTCCCCTTGTGTGCTGGCAGGGAGCATGGAGCCAGGAGACAGTTGCCTTCTGGCAGGGGCTGGGAGATTGCTCCCTGCCCCAGGGAGCTGCGTGCTGCTGGGGTGGGCTCCCGTGGCAGAGCCCAGGTTGGGACAATATCCCCTTACTCCAGCAACAGGTAGCTACAGAGGGCGGGGAACAATCTCCCAGCCCCTACTCCATGATCACATTTCAACTATTTATTGGGAGCTCCCTGCTGCAGGGGCAGGGGGACGTTGTCCCAGCCCAGGCTCTACCACCAGGGCCCACCCCAGCAGCAGGCAGCTCCCAGAGGCAGGGAGCAATCTCCCACCCCTGCTGCCTGGCTGACCAGGAGCAAATTTGCTCCCAGTCAACCATTTACATGTTCCTTACTTCACAGTAACTACTCAGCGGTTAATTTGCTACCTGCAAATGCAATTGAAGGTGGCAAATTAACTATGGCAAATGCAGGTGGCAAATTAACTGTGGAGTAGAACAAATTACTGTGCAGTAAGGGTCTGCACATATAGACAGTGACGCTTACTGTGCAGTAAGTTGCTTTACTGCACAGTAAAGCATCTTATGTAGACGTGCCCTCTGAATGTTATAATTCACATGTTGTACTTCTCACTTTGTTTTGGCATACCTGTGTGATGTAGATTTTCCCATATTCATGCCTTTAGGCAAATGCAGCTAAGAGCTAGATCTGCAAAGAGAGACACAAGCATCTCTGCTCCAGAGATTTTATGTTAAATACATTGGAACGCACATCAGTGTCCTTATAGCTGTCCTACATTAACTGTGTTGCCATTTATTTCAGCAGGACCAGGATGTCACTCATTAATAACTCAGCTGGACAGAATAGTAATATTTTTAAAGGAAAATACCTTTGCCATTTAGCCAAAGAGGCAGTAATTCTAAATGAATCTTCAGGGAGGTTAGTCCTGGCTGTGTTTTACAGCAGACCTGAATTCTTCAGTCTTTACGTACACACATTTTAGTGGTAGGCAGTGCAAGTTTTTATCTGTGTCAGATTGACAGGATCAGGCCCAGTATGTCAGAAACTCAGATCACGATTATGTATCTTGACAAAGAAAATTGCTTCCATGAAACAGCTCACTTTTCTGCTGAATAGATCATCTACTGCAGAACAAGTGTCAACTACTGCATAGAACCTGTGCACTTTGTAATCATTAGTGCCACTGATTCAAATGTACAAAGGCTGCCCTTGTTTGTAATTTTAGCTTATTCTTTCATTGTAATATTCTTAGCAGATACACATGACTGTCAGCAGGTAGTCCATGTTAAATGAGTTAAAGTAAAACTATGCTTTTTAAGAAAGCCTAGAAGACATGGTACTAATATTTGTGAAAGAAATTTAGTATTACAGGATACACCGCTCATAGGCATGCTTTGACACTATTTGGTTTATTTTTCTGACCAAAACATGGTTTCAAACTGAAATCAGTATCTTACAGTATGATAAGCACAAATTATAATACTGATAATGTCTTGATAGCAGCCATTTTTAACAATATTTACACTTATATTATCAAAGCTGAAAAGATTTACAACACCGAAAAAGCAGCTATATTATAAGTAGAGTCAGCTTTTTAAACTTTTTGGTTTAAAATATATAAAATATATTTAGAAATGGGCAAATAACGTGACTGCCACAATCATGTTCCACAAAATTGAAAGTCAAGAATCATTTAACTAAAATTCCCCTTTATCAAGGAAGAGATGCCAGAAATATGTTTAATAGTAAATAGTTGAAATGTTCATCTGAGTAATACTGCCCTAAGCACTGAGCCTGAACTTATATGTGCAGTGAGCTAAGACTTTGGCCCCAACACAGCAAAGTACTTTTGTTCCATGGAAACCTCATGTTGGCTTGAGGCCTGTATAGTTACCAGAACCATGAAATGTGAGCAGAATTCATCCAGGAGCAAATAAAACATCACTAGATGAAATCACAGCTTCCATGCAACACGACCCCATGCACTACTGTAAGATTTTACATCTCATTTACAAAACAGCAATATAGAGACCCAGCATACAAACTCTCACGTATGAGAGAAGTACTCACACAAGGTAGTAATGCCTTGCGATTCTATGACAGGATTGACTGTGTCATTTTAGGTGAGACAAGGATTTGTATGGGATGATTTGGATAGGGATGATCTTGCTTCAGGCAGGATGGACTAGATGACCATCCAAGGTCCCTTCCATCTCTAATTTTCTGATTCTGTGATTAAGGTAGGCTTTGCAGGATTGAGTCCCTACTTTGAATTTTATCCCTACATATTTTGCATATTTTATTTCTTTTACAATATGGTATGGATTTTAATTACAAATCCACTTGATCTGTCACCTCACAATCCTTTTCCAAACCATGTCCAGCATGCCCATTCAACTCCCTGAACTTGAATGGGGCTTTCCAAGGCTGCCAAGAAAGACTTAATCCTTTCTTCCCTAAGTAGCCTGCATAAATTGTATTTGTTACTGCTGGGTGGTTATGTTATATCAATACAAGGAGTGATAACATCAGATTGCACTGATAAAAGTAGATGTTAACTAATATATCACTCTGAAGTATATATCATGAGGGTTGAGTTAGGTAAAATTAATACAACAAATATTATAGGCAACAGAGAGGTTAAGTCAGTAATATAGCCAATCCTTAAATGTCACACATGCAATGTGTAGTGGAAACACATTTCTAGCAGCATACAATTCCAAAAAGTTAGACTATCTACAGCAATGTATACACAAAGCAAAAGTAGCCACATGCAAACTGAGAAAAAAAGTGAATCTTAGAAGTTGCTATTTTCAAAGACTGTTGTGAGGACTGCCCAAGGATTTTGAAGTACAGAATTTAGCCTACAGCAAAAAAAATCTCTAGGGATCAGAAACATGTGACACATTCATTTTCCAGAAGCGTTAATAAACTAGGACACAAAAATATGGAGTTTAAACTCCAAATTTAGATGACTAACAAGCCATGGCCTTTTTTTTTTATTTCGTTGTACATGAAAGGGAAAAACTGTGTGTGTGTGTGATGTGGGGTGCAGGGAGCATTATTTTAGGTATTGTTTAAGGTATGTGAGACCCAATTCCTGCTCCAGCCAAACTGTTCTTAGTGAATGACTGGAGAGGGAAAGCAAACATGACTTTAGGCCACCTTTATATTTACCTACTTTTGGGCTGGCCACGGTCAAGCTGATTCTACAGTCACTCCAACATTCAAGAATTTACTAGCAGCTGAGGATCAGTGAGATTCAAGGATGCCCTGAACAGGTCCCTTCCCCACAGGAATGTCCACTATGCAGGAGGCCAAGAAGAAATATCCTGTGGCCAAAAAGAATATCCAGGAGGCCAAGAAGACAATATTCTGTGTCAAAACCTGAAAAGTAAGAGAAGGCCTCCAAAGTCTGATTCTCCATAACACTGAAGTTTTATGCTGGTGTATTTCCATTGACATTAATGATGCAACAGCTAGCAAAAAACCTGGTTTGCCATTTTATGAAAACTTGCTTATTTCTCTTTTTTTAAGGAAAGACAATATAAATACTTTCCAAAAAAGGAATGCCCATAATCACAGCTCTCTAGCTCTGCAAACTCAGAGCCAATACAAAAATATGCCTTCCACTCAGCTGAATGTTGTGTTGTCAGCTCAATGGAGGAACCTCAGGGAGAGATGCACATTGCTCACGAGAAACATGTGCTGTCCTCTTGATTGAGCCCAGGTTGTGTTCTCAGTTCTCTGTTCCGTACACACAGGTTTGAATGTGTAATGGAAGGTATCAGAAACTCCTGCTGAAGATCTCCCCGCAGAGAGTACAAGGGACACACCAGCTTCTTTACCTGCAGCTCCTTGCTGGATCCAGATGCACTGGTATCTTTGTGGGAAATGCATGGTTTCTGCCCCCTCTCCATGGCAGAAAAACTAAACGCTTTCTTCTTCCTTTGTGATACTATAATCTGTTAGCAAAGTGACACTGATTTCTGAGCCATGTGTACTGCCTGTGACTGATAGGGCTCTGGTTGGCGTGTTACTGTGGGTAATGCTAGGAGGCCGTGTAGGAAGTCTTGCCTTACAACACACAACTTGCTTTTTAAAGTGTTGCCGGAAACTTTTACTTAGCCAGTAAAGAGCAAAGGGATTAACACAGGAATTGCTGAAGGCCAAAGCCCGAGAGAAAATAGTAGCTAGGAGATGAAAGGCAGAGGCATCTACAGAAGAGTGGTAAGTGAAAGAGCGGTATAAGTAGAGGATGTGGTTAGGCAGCCAGCAGAAAGCAAACAAAGCAACCAGCACCAGCACAGTTTTTGCAACTCTCTTGCGGGATTCAATCTAGGAAAAACAATATCTAGTGTTAGTAATAGTTAATGACACATTTATACAATTAGTGCTCCTACCAGAAAGGCTCTGAGCTTAATGAAAATCAGTCTAGATAAATTACCTGAAAATTCCTAAAAGGCAACTTCACAACAAAACAGAAAATAAAGCAAATGCAAAGGGGTTCTTTTGCCTTTGGGCATTGTGTTTCCGGTGAAGAAAACTGAAGTCTGAAACCCCGCTCTCTCTCACTGTGGTCTTCCCGTGGGAAGCCAGACTGAGGGGGAGAGGAATCCAGGAGAGCTGGCTGTACTTTAAAGAAGCCTTACTGAAAGATCAGGAACAAACCATCCTGATGTGCAGCAAGACTAGCAAGTATGGCAGAAGACCAGCTTGGCTTAGCGGGGAACTCTTCAGTAAACTAAATCACAAAAAGGAAGCTTGTAAGAAGTGGAAACTTGGACAAATAACTGGGGAAAAATATAAGGGCATTGCTTGGGCATGCAGGGATGAAGTCAGGAAGGCCAAAGCGCAATTGGAGTTGCAGCTAGCAGGGGACGTGAAGGGTAACAAGAAGCGTTTTTACAATTATGTCAGTAGCAAGAGGAGGATCAGGAAAAGTGTGGGTCCCTTACTGAATGGGGGAGGCAACCAGCATACTGAGCTGCATTGGAAGGTATGTTGTCAGCGGGTCAAGGGAAGTGATTCTTCCCCTCTATTCAGCTCTGGGGAGTCCACATCTGGAGTCCTGTGTCCAGTTTTGGGCCCCCCACTACAGAAAGGATGTGGACACATTGGAGAGAGTCCAGCAGAGGACAAAGAAAATGGTTAGAGACTTGGGGCACATGACTTGTGAGAAGAGGCTGAGGGAACTGGGCTTATTTGGTCTGGAGAAGAGAAGACTGAGGGGGGATTTAATAGCAGCCTTCAACTCCCTGCAAGGGGGTTGCAAAGAGGATGGAGTTGGACTGTTTTCAGTGGTGGCAGATGACAGAACAAGGAGCAATGGACTCAAGTTGCAGCAAGGGAGGTTTAGGTTAGATATTTGGAAGAATTTGCTCACTAGGAGGGAAGTAAAACACTGGAACAGGTTACCCAAGGTGGTGATGGAAGCTCCATCCTTGGCAGTTTTCAAAACCAAGCTAGACCAAGCTTTGTCTGGGATGATCTAGTTGGGGCTGGTCCTTTGAGCATGGTCACTTGATGTGACCTCCTGAGGTCCCTTCCAACCCTAACTTTCTATGATTCTATGATAGTACCTGTTGGGACCTTGTCTGAACTAGGATTTAAAGAAAGGATGTGTTTGCTAGCAAATGTTCACATCACACCCTTAAATTCTAGTCTGGACAATTTCAAGGCTCTTTCTCTGATGGTTTAGAATGCAGTGGAAGATGCTATGACTTCTGAGTTCAATACGGTTCCCATTCAGCAAAGAGAAACTCATTCCTGTCTACTTGGGCCCTTAAGGACATATTTAAAGTTAAATCATTATGACCTAAATATGTGCTTAAATAGATTCATAGATTCATAGATTCATAGATTAAGGGTCGGAAGGGACCTAGTAGATCTTCTAGCCCGACCCCCCGCCAGGGCGGGAGAACAACAAAAACCCCAAAAAGAGAAATGGGACTCAAACGAGTCCAGCTAGGTGGGCATCCAGCCTCTTCTTAAAGACCCCCAGGGTAGGGGCCAGCACCACTTCCCTTGGAAGTTGGTTCCAGCTCCTAGCCGCCCTAAC